TCTAGAAGCACTATGACTCCGTTTTTGCTTCTAGGTAATCACTGAACACTTAATCTTCTGAAATTTCTTTGAATGCTCAATAAACTTCAGGTTCATCTGTATGGCAGTTCCAGGGGAAAGTACGACTAGGAGCCCAAAACTTCACCTGTTTCCTTTCCCGCGCAACCAGTCTGGGTGCAGCGATTCGCTTCAGACTTTTCGAAACACCACCAAAGTGCGATTTTACCAACTTTGTTGGCGTTATTATTCGGAAACACGAACCTAGATGATCAACCCGACCTCTATCCACCAGAGATGACACGGTGGTCTTGATTGCAACGGCAGAGAGCAGGATCACCTTCTTTGCAGCCTAACGACCCGGGATGGAGGGCTCTATGTATTCGTTAACGGGGAAGAGGTTATCAACTTTTGTGCAAACAGATACACTCTTTTTGGTCACATCCTCTAAATCCTTCGGGCAATATCCCTCGAATGTCCCGATTAAAGGGGGACATTTGCACTGGAATTTCCGATTTAGAATTTGTTTCCTTTATCAAGAAGTGTCTCGCTATTCCTACAGTGCATAGCATCCATAAGGTAGAGGCAGCTAGCGCAGACAGAGGGATCAGGGGAGTTGGACAGTCAGTGAACCTGGTCATCTTGCAAACCTGTACACTTGAAATGCCACCAGGCCCAGCAAGCGTGACACGCATTCCAGGTCACGGAGGAATGGTTGACTAATCTGAAGGAAAAGGGAACCCGGGCTCAACAAACACGGTGGTTTGAATTCAATCAAAACACTGCAGACTCTTCGCTGCATCTCTTGGAAATACCCAGTAACCGGTAGAAGGCTGTCTTTCGTATATGGCTCGGGCACGCTTGTTTGTAGACAATACCTCAACACCTCAGGTAGTATACATCGGATAAAATTTCAGTTGAGTTTCGAGGCATTCACCTATCACCGATCAAACACTTAGGTCTGATTTCAATACAGTGAACCTGTCCGACTGATTGAGAAATATTACCCAGTCTTCAGCCCTGATTTTGTAAACGTACTTCTCAAAAATAGACCTATGCATGTTATATTCTTGGTCATAAAGAACGCCCTAGAAACATGTAGGCCTACTTACTGGAAACACCGATTTTCACTGCTTCCGGATTGTTGGCCGCATCACACTGAAATACACGAACATTTGATAATTCGCTTGAGCAAAGAAGACGCCTTCTGATCAACATATTCCAACAATGCAGAATTACCAAAATTAAAGTCCCATATCAGACTAGAACTTAATGGCGCACGTCAAAACGAGACGACATAGAGTAATCCAGTACAGCTACTTGCGTGGTTTGGCGGTGTTCCTTGAGGCCACTTGTTATGACGGGAGCAAAGAAATCAGCATAAGACTAGTGAGATCAGAGATAGATTACTCTAGCTGTTAATTTTTCGGCCAGAGTATGGAGTCCACGCCGAAAATGAGACCACTATTTCAGAAGATACACGCGATCGGCGTACACAGCAGAAGAATACACAGATGTGATCATTCCTTCAAGCCGTAAATAATCACACGAGCCTCGCAAAGCTACTTTCCTGGAGTATAAGGAAGCCATGCAGCTGGTTTTGATTGGATGTCCCAAAATTTCCAGGCAGTCATTTGTTGACTCGATACTTACGCGCCCCCGTAAAAGCAACGCTCTTTGGGTTTCCACAATTCGTCTGTTAATAGTGCGACCCTATCCGGCTTGCCATTTCGGCAGTTTTTCACAAATAAACTAAAATTCAATATTCTCTCACGCATAACTACTATGGCGCGCAACCGACTATCAAATCAAGCTCTTCATGAGGTTTCCACAACACCGCATGTTTAGCTGAAGAACGTTTACCTAATACTAGAGTCCATCCTACACACACCAGTTATCATTCGGTGGGACTGTTCGGATGACTAACAAGTGTGTCACGATAACTTGGTTACGAGACCAATACTCACCACTTAAGTACCAAAAACCATCAACAACTCACACCAACTAACGTGTGGGCTCAAAGCCTACTCTTTAAAACTCAAACAACAGGTGCCAGGAGAGTGGTTAATTTTCCGCAATAAATCATCCGATGTCAAGAGGTAATTATTAAGAAAACTAGGTTGTAAGATCATTCCGTAGACAATCGAAGTGGAAGAACGGCCCCGCACTAATCGAACATCTTGCGGGCTTATCGACAAATACGTCCATTTGAATATGAATTTCGAGGCTCACAAGAATCCGGGCTTAATCTCGTTTACGATGTTCTTCAGCAACCCTGTACGCAGCGCCTATGCCTTTGTTATCTACGGGGCATCTACAAAAGCCTTCGCCATTGACAAAGCAACCACTTCTGCCAATCTGAGGCAATCCGCTACGAGTAATATCTTACACTGCCCCGCCGGATCCTGTTTTTGTAGATACGGATTCGAAACGCGACTGAGTTGGAGCCCGTGACAGAATGGCACTGGGAAGACAATGGGCTAAAAGTTGCGGACACGCCAGTTTCGGTAGAACCACCGGCCAGAAGACAGCTATTCTGCTAAGTGCCCAATAATTGATGACTAGTTCTGGCCTCAGAACAAGAACCAACACGGTTCAACTAGTGTTAAGCTTTTCAGGTCACAATATCTGCTATGGCATTGGAATCAGTGATGACAGGGGGTTGAACAGACACAGTAACACCCCGCAATAACTGATTAGACGAAACATCATGCTAATGTTCCCATTCTGAAATCAGGAATGCGGCAAATCATACTGCCGTATTGATTATTAGCACTTCTTTTCTGCTTCATTTGGACGATGCATTCAGCTCTATGATGCGTAGTTTCACTTCCTTCTCTTGCACGTAATGCGGTAGGTGAGACTGAAAGCTAGGAATTCATCACACAAGTGCTGCCTCTACTGCCTTGTTCAGATTGCACACAGAAGCGAAATTCTCCAGATTACTGAGGCCGTAATTCGATGGCGCTTTGCAGTGGATACGTCAAATGACGTCATTCAACTCAGTTAGTTATGCCACCTACAGTGGAGTAAAAATGGTAAAACTAGACGACATATCTTGGCCAATTAGAAAACGAACCGGACAAGCAAACTTTCCCAACCACAGATCATGTGATGGAACTGGTCTGTATTTCGAACGCAACTTGAAGTTAGCCACACTCCTGTCAGGTGCGTCACAAACTCATAGTGGGGCATAAACACAAGAGGAACTGTTTCTGTTTTAAAATCCATCACTTTGCCATCTGCATCACGTGAACTTATTGGGTAATGACAGCAGACTAATCAATGGGCTCCACAACAAAAGATGGTGACACCAATCGCAGCCGGGTATTCACATTCACCGACACATTACCAAAACTAGCAGAACAGAGATACACTGCGTTCGAGTTTACAAGACGGAGTAACTGTCACTCTATTCGAACTCCGCTACCAGTGTTCTAGATCATGCAGTGGGTCAATGGCATAGACAAAAGCCAATTGTGAAAGTATGCATCAGAACTCAACTGGTCGATGTTTCCTAAGACACAACCCAACAACAACGGAAGTGTGCGCCAGCTGGAACTCGAAAACTTGCTGAAACGGCAGCAAACGCAAGATGACCTCAACAGCTACAGGAAAAAAGGATTTGTCCGTCCACATGCCGTTTCTAATACGATACGACTGCACACAGCCGAGATAGTACGAAGATCGGGTGGCAATTACACTGACTATTCTAACACACTTTCGTGAGGTTAATATGTATGCGGAAGGCACACACTGCTCTATTCTGATGAAAGTTCCCGAAATCGACAGACAATCGTGGACTTGCATCTCATCGATTGAGCTGAGGTCGATTTCGATCTTAGACATAGGAAGTTGGTGCTTTTCGGGACTGCTCTTAATCTAAGGACTCCACGGAGACCCCAGCAAAACCACTGGTTCTTCTTGCATACTTCGGCAGCAGAAGACAGCAACTGATTCGGAATCTACATAGTCCCTCCGGTGTGAACTAACCTGGATAACTGCACCAGGACGAGAAGGGAACTGTTCGAAAAGAAGTAATATGAACGTAGGATCTAATTTCGAATTCAGTTCGCCGAGGAATAGTGCGAAAGACAACAAACATGCCACAAGGATGCGAAATCCCTATGGACCTACCTAATTTAGGGGTCACTTCTCCAATAGATCGAATTCCTTGCGCAGTTGACAAACCTCAAGTGGCAAGCCATATCCTACGTGATCCTCAACAAACCTAAGCACTGAAAAATCAGTTGTATCGGGCATTCGAAATTCACCAGTGACCAGACACAAATAAAAGTCGACACTGTCCCAAGATGGATAAGTGTGGGAAGCGTTGCCTAGAAACCTTACGTCTCAACGACGATTGCTCATCTATCCCAACAGAATCACAAATCCGACCAAGTTAAAGCCGAAATAGTGCCTCGACCTCAGCAGATGGTGCACCGTTCCCAAGGTTTGGACAAAAGGGTACGTCAATCGACATCATGAACAGAACGTACTACCGATGACATCTACCCTTACTGGCACGAAGCTCTGGACAAGTTCGTGGCGAGTTTTGCTGGCGCTGTCTGACACTGGCACATATTAACTGCCAGTTTACTTTGCACAACAATAAATTCGACAAAACAGCAGCCATGTAATCGTCCTGGTAACACACATTATCAAGGTGTTATCCCATGCAGCGTCTTGCACTACGGGTGTCGCGTTACGCTAGTATATAGTCCTCATTTGCATCTTGGTATAAGAATAAATGTTTGTAATTTTCTATCGTTAGTGCATGACGGAAAACAAGTGAAGCGGCTCACTTCGGAGCGCATGGGTAGCTACTTATCCTTCCCAATTCGACGAACTGGTACTGTGCGGGTTCAAACAATCGGGAAACCCATCTTGTGGAACTGAAGCATAGTGTAGCGGCTGATGTTGTCTTCCCTTGGCAGCTGACACTCAAACCTAATCTAAGGACGAAATTCTGGGGCTTGTCCGTGAAAGAAAATGAAATCGTCCGAAAACTCAAGGTTGAAACGCTGCAAGTTATTCACATTCCCCAAAATGGCACATCCGTGTAATGTTGAGTACAGATCAACATTCTACGGGGTAAGTGAACGATATGGGAGACGAATTGTCCCCATTGACGGCATTTTGTTTGCAACCATGTAACAGAATTCCAAAGCATGAAGACGGGGTAGTGCAGTACGATGAACAAAGCCAGGATAATTGTAGTATCATGTTGGTTGAGCCGAGCGTATGTGGACGTGGGATGACAACTCTACAACAGTCCCGGGGGTCAACGGTCTGCACCGCACAAACACGAAAGCTTACGAAAGTAACCAGCTACATGAATTCGCAGGATGGCAACGAAAAAAAGTTCGGACAAGCTTCACTACGTAACTGAGGGCATCACCACAGAAGTACGAGCACGAAAGGTTTTTCCAAGTAGTCAACTCAAGAAAAATTTCTGGTTCGCTCAATATGACCCTTGAAACAGGCTATGGGAGTCAAGTTACAACTGGAGCAAAAAGCCGCAACGTAATGCAGCCATTAAAAATAGGTGCAGGGCGTTTCTCAAGAGGACGAAGTGAAGTAGGAAAACAAACTGTGCCTGAGAAGACACGTGTGTGAAACAGCAGGCAAGTAAGGGGTTGCAAGTGAAGGGAGCTAAAGAAAAAATAGATCTATGTATTGGCTAGATCCACGGTCAAAGAACGGCGTGTCAACCACTTGGGAAGATAGAGGTATGAATTAGCCGACGACAACAGTGGAGTCATCAACAAAATTATACTCCGGAATCTCGAGGTTTAGAGGAGCGGGTCCCTTACGTATTCGCCCTGATGCATCGTAATGGCTACCATGACAGGGGCAATAGTAGCCACCGGGGTATTCTCCGGCATGCGCTATGGGAACGCAACCTAAAAAACGATACAAGGGAAACCGCAAGTATCAGATTTACGAAAGATGCCACTGAAAAGAAACAAGGTAACAAATCAAGGTTATGTGGAAACGTTGGTCTAGAATCCTAATGCTTGTTAGTATTTCACCATAACACGCCGCAGAATGCAACTTGAGGTATGGTAAAGGACCAGATATAAGAGCACGACTACAAATGTGATACACCTAACTGGGTTCGAGGCAACAAACTTGATCAATGAGACAATGGCGATTTAGGGTTACGCACGTGTTCTGCGAACATTGGGCGCATATAACTTACAGTGACTAGCGGTTACGAAGTACAGCGTATCGTGATCAACCAAGTTTCTCTGGATGCAAACTATCGTATTATTCTGTTCGATTATTTTTAGTTAGCACGCGGTCCCCATTACCTAGTGGTCCGAATCCATTGACAAAGAACTTGTTGGGTGAAAAATTATGTCGACACTGGATTTTCGAACTCGCGTACACTACAACACACGATTCGTGAGGGAATGGTCGTCCAACAACCCGCGATTAATCAACAGCACGAAATGACATATTTTAGGACAGCAGTGCGTATTCAGGCTTTATACTGTCTTCGGAGATGTGCGCTGGTTTCCAAACCGTGAATGCTGAACGAATAATAACATGCACAATGAATGTCCATTCAAACAAGCTCCCTACCTCATATAGTTAGCAACCTGTTTGCCCGTTCCCGTCAGAGATCCCGACGTAATCAAAACTTGAGGAAAGTTTCAGGCCGCACATTCCATAGCAGCACTGTTGCATGCCCCATGACCGGAGGCCAGCAGCTCTAAATAACCGGACATTAAATCGATTGGACGGACGCGTCAAGTGCGAGCTATGGATCAAAGAAAGATAAGCCTTGATTGGTAAGAGGCGACGTATCCTTGAGAACCTTCGAGGCGTCTATGGTGGCCCTAAACATGTCCGATACCGGTGGGTAGTCCACTGAGACTTTGGGCTTCTTCGAAACGGTTGGAGAAGCAGGGGAATTCATTACGCTCATGAGACGCTTGCGCAAACCGAGACGCGACAGGTCCTATTTAGATCGTGCCGGCCCGTACCGGTAACCCTCTGCATCAGAGCTCATTTTGCCCAGCCCTTTGCTGAGAGGAAGCGACCGAGAGGCGGACAGTGTATGACCTGGCAACGAAGTACGAAAACACTGACCAATGGACCTAGTCGGGTCGGCAACTGCCGCATCCCTGGATAAGGACCTCGGGACTTAAATCACCAGTGACATTGGCATAAATGCTCGATCGCGGTCAATGGTGCACGTGCATCAAAGCTATCGGTTTCAAAACGTAGCTAGCCAATTACCGAACTAACCAAGGCTTGGGTGTATGTCCCACACCCTCCTTTTCCGGGGATCGAAACTGGGGCAGCTAGCACCAATGTGTTTATTGTACAAGGATAATAGCTGATAAATTGAAACTGAATTGATTTCAGTACATTTTGGCGAATTCTGCCAGCAGCATATAACGTTGCACCTACGGTCCCCAGCCTTCAATTTTCATCATCATCATCGACAGCATGACAAGCATATAACCACCTACGGTCCCCAGCCTTCAATTTTCATCATCATCATCGACAGCATGACATCAGTGTTCAACACCGATGCTTCACTGCCTGCCAACCATGATTTATTTGAAAGCCTTATTGTAAAGAAAAGAATAAAGGTGGACGGGGGAGGGACTTAGTGCTAGCTTAACACAATCATTCCGAGGTGCCTACACCTCCAGACAATCACTCAGGCAATCCGGACAGAAACTGACAACAAGAACGCCACTGACATCGGTTGGCAGCCATATCTTGTAGTGTCTCCAACCAGGCACGGTGAGGATCACGCGGTCCCCATCCTGGAAGGCGAGCAGCAACGACAGCACCCAAGCGTTTCGTGATCTCCTTCATGCTCCTCTGCCAAGTCAAGGGTTGGCCACCTCTCTGTTTACGCCACTCTGAGTTGGGCATGGAAAACAGCACTCTCTTCGGCAAACGATGGTTC